GCCAACATTCCTTTAACCTTCCTGATTACCTGCTGCACCTGTGTGTTAGCTTTCTATGTTTCATGCACAAGTAACCCCCAAGTCCCTTTGCCTATCAGCTTTCTGCAGTTTCTTTCTATTTAATTAATACTCTGTTCTTTTGCTCTCTCTTCCAAAATTGTTCTCCCTCTGCATTTTCCTACATTATACTCCATTTGCTAAATTTTGCCCACTTATTTATCAATATCTCTCTGTATACTGTTTGTATTCCTCTCACAACTTGTCTTTCCACCTATTTTTGTGTCATCTGCAAATTCATCTAAAGCTCATTCACTTCCTTCCTCCAAGTCATTAATATACACATGGATTGTGCTCCCAGCACTGATCACTGTGGAACCTCACTGGTATAGATCACCAAACGGGGAAAAAAGACCCTTATCCGCACTCACTGTTTCCTTCCCATGAGCCAATTCTTGATCCATGCCAATATACTACCTTCAACACCGTGAGCTGTTATGACAACGTTTTGTGAGGTACCTTGTCAATTGCCTTCGAAATTCCAAATACAACACATCTACTAGTTCTCCTCTATCCACTCTGGTTAAGGCTTCCTTAAAAACCTCTAATAATTTAGTCGGAAATGATTTCCCTTTCATGAAGCCATACTGACTTTACTTGATTGGATTATGATTTTCCAAATGTTCTGCAATTCCTTCTTTACTAATTTATTTCAATACTTTCCCAACAATAGATGTTAGGCTAACTGGCATATAGTTACCACTTTTTTTGTCTCCCTTATTGAATAAATATGTAACGTTTGTAGTTTTCCAATCCCCTGGTACTTCTCCAGAATCCAATGATTTTTGGAAAATTACAATCAAGGCATCCACAATCTCTGTAGCTACTTATTTTTAGGATCCTAGGATGCAAACCATCAGGGTAAGAGCTTTTCTGCCTTTAGCCCCATTTCACTTATTGGACTCAAACCTGTCCATTTGTTTTAGATTAAAATTCCTTATATTGTATGGTACAGAGCTGGCTAGGATCTCAGGTCTATTACTGACATCCGTGTACCTTCAGAATAATGCAACAGAACATCACACATTATAATACTCACTGTATCAAAAAAAATTATAATAACAAAAGGTTACACATTTTAAATGTCCTCTGTGACATTTTTCAGAGTTCCTTTTCATTTCTGCTCACACTGGGGACCTAACCCATTAGCAGCACATTATTTTTGATGCCTAGAATTAGTCCTTCACTTAATTCCTAATTTCCTAATGGTGTCCAACCCGAGTGCAAAGCCAAGTTAAGTTTAACTCATGAGTCATGTCTGCATTAAATCTGAATAAAATCTATTGGAATAGCTTAATTTTGCTTTTGAAGTGATGAATGAGATGTTATTCCCTGGGGAAGGCTATCAGCATCAATATTATATCCAGAAACTTGACAAAGGCCAGAAAAAGAGACAGAAAAAAATCCTATTCATTTAATTTCATGGAGAAAATGCCTGTTTTAACTCTTGGAGAAGGCTCAATTTCCTGCTGCTACCTATATTTTATGCATTTTAATATGTATCGATTTTATTTCTCCCTCAAACTGCTCTGACTGTTTTGTTGACAAAGATACAGGCATTATCAATACAGATTTTGCAATGGTATTAAATCTTTGCCACAGAAAGAATGTAATGTTTCATTTTTATGCTCGTATGAAGCCACTGTATCATATGATGAGGGCAGTGGAGCTGTTGTTTTGAGAGTGAGATCTGCTGTAATGGCAATGTATAATGCATGGGCTTTTCAGAATTCCTACTGATCATAGCCCTTCAGTGCATGCAATTCACATCGATTTCTTTTCAAATTTTCATCACATTTACAGATGAAAGGCACCATAAAACAATGCTGAGTGAACACATCAATGCACAAGAGTCAGAATATTCACCAAATATTAAACAGCTCAACCTCCTTTTGGTTATAAATGTTACTCAAAACATTATGTATTTAACAGAATGTAAAGTTTTAGAAGGATGGTCTATTAGTGTGATTCTTGTTTTCTTTTAAAAATATTATTATAATAACCTTTTGGTATTTATCAACTAACTAATATCACCCTGAGGCACTATTTTTATCTATACAGTGCCCTGATTATTATTCAGATTCTAATTATCCACCTCCCAGATTATTCATCAGACTTTTGAGAGAGACAGCATTGACTTGCACAGTCACTTTAGGTATTTTTATTGTATTCTCTTTCCTTGGTGAGTAGAATCTACACAATGCTTCCTTTGTTGTCAGCACTCTGCTCAATTTGTTTTTAATACGTTGCTATACCATATATGCTGTTAGGAAAATTCAGACACACTCAAATTATCCAGAAATTTTCATTATCCACCAGGAGTCCGCTGTCTGGTAGTGGATTCCACTAGGGTATACTTTGTTATTACCATTAAATGCTTCATTTCACTTTCTGTCTTTCTTAAAGTGCTTTCAAAGGTTCCTTGTTAGCAAGCTTTCTCACTTGCAACATTCTTTCACAAAGTTTCTTTTCAGGTAAGAGTGAAGTTTGATAATATGTATATAAAACATATATTTAGCAATGGCAGGTATAAATTATTATTAACCAAAAAAAAATCAGTTGTGACACATTGCACATTCCTGAGCATTTACTCATTTGGAATTCCCTTCAAATTCTATGACCTCACAGAGCTGTTACAATGTTACCTGTTCCCAGTTTGCTCCATTTATTGGCACCTGTCAGAACATCAAATCTCAAGTTTTAAGCCTTTTTATGAATACTTCAAAAACTGGGGTGAGCAATTTGAACCAAACTTTCCAGGTCAGAATTTTACTGGATCAGGTGGAACACCAATTTCACACTCTGTCCCATATTCCTAAATGATTTCACTGGAGAGCAAAATTGGGCAGGGTATAAAAATAAGATCACATACTGTTCACTCAGTCTCCAAATTGTTGAAATTATTTAAAAATGTTCCCGTTTGGTGAGGTGTGAAAACATCATTCCACCTGATGCCAGGGTGTTTCACTGGTCAAAAGTGCTAGCAGTGATTTTTTTTTAAAATCAAATTTCTTCCCACCTCCATGACATTTATATTCTGCTGCTCTTTCATACAATGATTAAATCTTTACATCAATTCTGTATTTTAAGTCTCTTCTGCACAAGGCCTGCCAGAGGAATTTGATTTGCAGTTTTTTTATTAGTGTCTCAGTATCTTATGCAAAGATACAGAAGCAGAAAGTAGGTAGATTGACAAACAAATGGAAAATCTGGACAAAGGGAATCAGGATTTAAAGTGTGGTGTAAACAGAATCAGTTGCACTAAGAAAGACTTTCAAAAACCTAATTTAATTTTGTCCCTGAGCATTGCCACAAGAGGTCATCTGGCTACTGACATATTCTATTCGTATCACACCAGCCTGAGGAGCCAAGCTCATTCTGACAACCTGAACATTGGACTGAAGGTCATATAGTGCTGGAGAAAACTTTATAAACTAGACAGCTATATCCCAAAAACTCTCACGCTCTGAGTCTTTCATACTGGAACAATGTTGTCATTGGTACAGGTTAAATAACCCTTGTCTCTACCGGTGATGTCATCATGGTACTACTGACCACCGCTGCATTTGGATCTTCACATTTGTAATCTTCCAGTCGGATACAGACTAACGTATAGCTAAAATATTCTGGGTACAAACATGAATGCAACGTAAGCTAATGGAACATAATTTCATGAGGAGTTATAAGTAATTATTTTGCTGCATAGAAGCCATGATTATTTGATTCCATAATTGCACAGTAATTCATTGTTGATGAGTAGCCATTGTGAATTATTCCCTTAAACCTCAGTATTTATTGATTTTCTTTTCTTGCATTTTAGTTGGAAGGTTGCATGATTGCAAAAGTCAGCCTGCTGAATTTCAAATCTTAACAATGAATGGCATAATAAGTAGTCCATCTGTTGATTTTGGATGCAATTGGATTTACTTGTTGTGTCCATGGTGTCCACCTATCTTGGTAATGCTCACTACCCTGCCTCCTAGTTGAGCAATGGCCTATTGGTCAGAATACAGGAGAACCATTTGCAACCTGGATCTTCACGAGAGTCTAGGGAGGTACCTCCAGAAGACAGTGAAAGAGGAAAATAAAATTGTGTATGCTCATATTGTATTGTTTTATGTAGGGGTCATAACTATAAGATAGCCAAAGATAATTGTGATAAAGAATTCAGATGCAACTTATTTGTTCAAAGTGTAAAAGAGCTTTACTTCCAACATTTGCATGTGGAATTTACAGCCTTACGGAGTGGTTGAGGTGGATGCCATAGATACATTTAGGGCAGTTGGACTAGTACATGAGGGAAAAGAAATAATAGAAAGATATGTCAACAGGATTATTTTAATTAGAATGAGAGATGTAGAAATACTGACATGGACCTGCTGGGACAAAGGGCCTGTTTCTGTGCTGCAAAGTTTATGTCCTATATTAAGTCCCACATGTCTGAGTGTGTTCATTTTAAGGACCACACTTGAAGCATATTTTTCCATGTCCAGCTTGTGTTTAATTCAAGTAGCTGCAATTCTGCTAATTAGAGTGGATGGGTTTGGTTTGCTATCTTAAATGACCTTGGTCCTGGAAACTGTCAGCACCACAGTGTGTAGATATGTAAATAACAAATGCAAGATTGATTAAACTTGACACCAAGCCACGACACATGTAAATGATATGAGCAGACACTTGGTATTACTGAAAATCTGTAAGTGTAAATACTCAGTGATGTAGTGCAGCCTATTTCCACCTTGACATAACAAAGAATTCTTGGTGGCATGAAGCACTATTTAATTGTCTCCTCTCTTTACACAATGTTCAACTATCACAATAGTACCTTCCTCTCTTTTTTTTGATGATTTCACTGACACTTCTTTTGTACGAATTAGTAAAATACATCTATTCCTCATGGATCTGCTGAACAGATTCATTATTTATTTGTGTTTATGTTGCAGGTGTCGAGGTGTCTCTTCAGAAAGTGCTGCCTGAAGCCTCGGAGACTTGCACACAGGAGTGTCTTGTCCTCGGTCACTCTGACAACTGCTGGATGCCCCCATCGCTGACCCAGTACCAGCAGCCTAATCCTCCCCTGCCGTCTATTGGATTTCAGCAGAGCTGGGGCAGAAATGGCAGGTCAGAGGGGAGGCACTCTCTGGGGAGAGCCAGCAACAAGGATGACATTGACAAAAGCCAAGGCAGTGGCAGACAGCAGTTGTACAGCAACTCGGAAAGACACTGCAGCAACGAGGATCCTGTGAAGGTCATTCCCCTGGCAAACTTTACGCCAAATCAGCAGGGCTCAGTGTCAGGTGACAGCTCTCCCTATGCCCGTGAGCACCAGCTTTAGAAAAGCACCTCAAGGCAACATTTGAGTGGTTTTGAAGCCAGGATGTATATAGTCACAGCTTTTAGTCCATGTAGAGCCCATACATCAAAATATACAAGACTGCTAACATCTGTATACATTTAGTAAGACAGGCCTTTCAAATAAGTTGTGTATAAAGCTGTATATTGGCAGCTTCTCTGTGCTGTTAAATACAATCACTGGAAATAAATGTTTGTGTTGTGGATGACAAAGTGGGTATATTTTTAGGATTGAATTTTGTGGACTACCATCCTGAAGTTCAGTGGCAAGCCAGAATCATCTTTTTCTTTCTGGAGTTAATGATGTCAGACACTAATCTGAAAATGCCAGCAAGAAAACAGACTGAATGAATACTATAGGTTTTGCTTTCACTGATCTTTTAAGCCAGTTTTACCCCTCTTGCTCCTGATCAGTGCCAAAAATCTGAAATTCCTTGGTACTTTGCAGTGCAAGGAGGCCGGCCACTTCTCAGTGGAGTGATAATTTATGTAAATCACTATTTATATATAAAAAAAACTGCAGAACACACATGGTCTGCGCTATAGATGACTTTTATAAGTTGTGTCACTGCCCCTCTGTTCAGGGAAAAGGAACAAGCGTTTGCAGTAGGAAAGCTGACACTGTTGAGTCTTATTACCTGCTCAATGATGAGCCTCCCTGAAACAGTGCACAACCTCACATGAAAGAGGCACTCCAACTTTGTAAGAGTGCCAAGCAGATTTGAGAAACAAACAGCCCAGGCCTTTATGCCGTTGTACCAGGTGTTTTACACCCAAGTCACCTAAAACTGTATTTATTCTTTACAAAGTAGGTCTTGTTTTTAACTTGAAAAGGATTGAATGCTGTTATGTGTGCAGCTCACGTATTCCATATGTAGAGTAGTTTGAAGTCAATGTATTGAAAATGCAACATACATTTTATACGTAAAGCTTATATACTTATAGTTAATTAGAAGTGATCTGATATACTATTTCTATATTGTATGTTTGATTTCTGAATTAGACTAAACTACAGATTGCTCTTAAAGAATCTTATAGGACAATCTGCTAAAATCCTATAAATCCAAATCTTACCTATCACAAGATAATTTGTTCAATTCTATGGAGCATTACTGTGTCTTATAACTGAATGTTCTAGGGTTATTTCAGGTATGCAGCAACATGTAACCGATGAGAAAAGTGGACAGTGTTTGACACTGATCCTCCAGTTGTACCTGCAGATTATACTGAAGAATTGAAGAACTACCTTCTCCACCCAGAAATTCAGATTTAATACCAAATGGCTTGCTACTATGTTGTGACGTGAAGGGAGAAGCCTTTTGTTTGTTATTATGTTATAATCAGGTAACATGCACAATTTCCAGGCACTCTGGATACATGACAATCTAAGAAAGCATTTAGCAAATTGAGGAAGACTTTTAAAGACTTTTTATGGAGTTTTGCTTCCGGATACTGTATGTAGAGTTAGCTAACTAGTCACTCAAAGCTGTTAAAAAATGCATAAATCTGCTGTATGATTGCTTGTAAAACAATGAAAGTTGCTATGTATATTAGATGTGGGGGGTTTTGCACCATAAAATGGGGATTATGGGGAAAGCTTATTGTGCTGTTTATGTGCTCAGAGGGTATAAGTAGCTTTGTAATTTGTCAAATGTTGTTTCACAGTAATCTGTTCAAATCACAGGCAGTTACAGTGTGCAAAAGAGCGTCACCTAATTAAACAGTCACTTTAATCACTGAATGATGGAAGAGCATTAAAATAAAATCAGTCTTGTTGAAAAAAATTTAAGTATTTCTTGGTAGTTCTGGTAGCTTTAGGATATGGGAATATTTGTTATTATTTGTGCAAAGCATTACAGTTGAAATTGCATGTTAACAGTAAACAATGTTAACCCTTCCAGAACTGACTTTGCCTATGAATTGCCTGTAGATTGATAATAGTTTGCAGAATTTGTTTAGGGAAGGGGATAGAAAGAGAGTCATCAATGTTATTCACTGTGCTTTGTGTTGATCTGCAGATGTTTTACAGAATCCCATTACTGGTCTGGAAAATGCCAGTAAAACTTAGCACCAGGCTAGACTGAGGATCTTAATCACAAGAGGAAATTTGTTGGCTGCAATATAATTGTTAATGTTTTTGCCCTTATTCTTCTCATGCTATCTTATTTAAATTCCTTCCCTTTACACCCACCCAAACCCTGGCAACAATGAGATTACAATGATGTTGCACACAAACCTCTCTCCAGTGAAATCATTGGGTTGAGTGTACACATCCAGGCTGACAAAATCTGTTTACCTAAACCACGTTTGCTTTCTATTGATCCACTGTATTCTTGTCTGTGCTGTCACTTTTCAATGTGTCAACGAGGAGCAGGGTTAGGGGTGGTTCAGTCTTACCTAATGGAGCTTTTCCAGGGACTTGCTCCAGACCAAGTGAAAACACTAGTTGCCCTATAAGTCTGTTGAAACGTATAATGAATGCTTATGCTGCTTGAGGGCAAGATTCCAGTAGTTGGAAGAAACTTAGGAATAGGGTATTCATTCTGAAGCCTATTGCATCATTTAGTTAAACGAGATGACCTGTAACTTAAGGTACACACCTTTGCTTCATAACACTTGAAAAAAAATAATCAAAAATTCATCAGTTTTGAAATTTTCAATTGACATAGCCTCAACACCTATTTGGGGGAGAGAATTCCAGGTTTTGTCTACCCTTTACATGAGGAAGTGCTCCCTGATATCAATACTGAATGCTCTAGCTCTAATTCTAATGTTGTGCCTCCCTTGCTCTGGACTAGCCCACCAACTAGAAGTTTCTCTCCAGCTGGCTTATCAAATTATTTAATCATTTTAAACACCTCAATCAAATTGCTACTTACTCTTTTATGCACACAACAGTATAATCCTCGGCTATGCAGCCTGTCCCCATAATTTAATCTTATCAACTCCAATATCACTTTGGTGATTGAGCACTGCCTTCCTTCAAGGTTAGCTTCCTGAGGTACCACGCCCAAAACTAGATGCAGTGCTCTAAATGGGGATCAAGCAAAAAACTTTATGTAGCCTTAACATCTTTTATATTCCAGGCCCCTTGAGAGAAAGACTGACACACCTTAAGTTTTTTTTTAATTAGTATTTGCATCTGTCCAAAAGAAAGGAGCAACTTCATTTTCTGCGGGGAGAGTTATGGTGCACTGAGGGGATAATAATCACATACATTTGACTGGCATAACCAAATATATGCAGCAAGATATGCAAAAGAAAAACATTGAACAAAAGTTGGCAATAATGTGGGGCACCATCAGAATATGGGACGAAATGTGGCAATTAGTAGTGAACTAATGATCAAGACAACTATTCTGGAATCCACAGTAGGTGTCTCATATGCCTTAAAGGAGATACAAGTAGTGTGATTTCAGTCCTTTAAGGGTTGATACTCTAAAACATTTGATTTGTACATTTTTAATTTAACAAAAAAAGGTAGGTTTGCAAATTCATTGATTACTTGTGGACTGTCATTTAAGATTGTTTCAAAAATAGTCATGGCTTTTTACTGTCATCTTTCACTCTCCTGTTCAATATGTTTTGCAAAATAAATAATGTGACTCCATGGACATGTGTGTTGTGATTGATATTAAGTATGTAATGCAGAAAACCTGAATTCATAAAGAGGAGAAGCTCTAATTGTTTTCTAAAAGATCATTTTTGTAAGTCTGGCCTTACAGGATTAACACAGACAGACCATAATGCTGGTTTAAATCACTGAAATCGTTGGTTATGGTTAGAGCATTTCAGTTCATTTCTGTTTTGCAATTTGGTGGTAATCGCACACAAAAGAGATACGTACAGACTGTGTCCATTCACTACCCCTGGCCACCAATTAAACAATAGGCAACATTACACTTTCTGACTGTAACCCATTGTAAAAATTTTGAAATTAATCATTCTTTCAAGTGTTTTTTTCTATATTCAATTGGAAAAGCTCTTTTGTTTTTTACCCTGTATTTTGATGAAAATTATAGGATTAAAGTAAAACCAACCTTTGTAACAATACTTAAAATTGATAAGGAATATCTTGCACCTAAATTTTTGTTGATCTTACATTTTTAGGCTTTTAAACAAAATTTAATGCGATGGGTGATAAGTAAAGTGTTAAACCCTCAGCATATATATAAAAGGCTATGTCATGATGTTATCATGATCATATGATGATGACACCCTGGAGAAGGACCAATACTTTAAACCTTGTGCTGCATTGAAATGTTTATGGTTAGCATGGCGTAAATAAACAATACCTTTTAAATGGACCAGAGAATCCAGATATATCACTATCTTAGTAGTGGACACCAATCGTGGTCTAGAGTATGACCCAACAACAAAATGTTTACTTTTGGTTTCCTGTCAAAGCGTGGAAGGCTTTCTTCCATAGCCAGCATTACATGGTTTCTTCCTTCTCTTCACCCATAGCATAATACCATCACTTTCTTTCTTATCTTTCACTGCATCCGTCTTCTCAATACTAACATCCACTGTTATCTTCACTATAGAACTGTATCAATTCCCTCAGGACTATGACAGGCTCCTCCCAGAATATTGCAACATTTCTTTTTACCGTTCCTGCATATATCTAAATCATCCTGCCCCACCATTATGGCAGTGTGACATCCTGCGTTTCCTGAAGAGCATTGCTGGTCAAATCATTATTTATACCAGGATGTCACTTGTTTTCTCTAAGAAATTGGGGGAGTCAGTCTGTTGAGTGTAGCATTATTCAATTCTACATTTTTATCCACAGTCCTGTCAAGCATTGCTTTGCTGTAAACTCTATGAAAGTCACATGATGAGATCATTGCTTTGTTATGAAATTATGGGACTATCCCTTGTTCCTCAATCACATTAAAGTGAAATTTAACATTGAGAAACAGGAGATAATGAATCTGTTGTCAGTTATACAATAAGCCTGACTCTCCTTTTCATTTAAGGAAAATTGGTCAGGGAGTATGATCTGAGGTTAATCTTTGACTGCCCATTTGTGCCTCCACCAAAACTGAACTATCCTTTCTTTGAAACTACAGTTTTCATACTGAGCATTAGTTTGTACTTTTAGTTTATCCATTCCATAGCAACAAGATACAGAAGTAATACATGTGAATGTTAGTGCAAGTGATAATGTTATTGGATGAGTAATAAAAAGGTCCAGAAAAATACTCCAGAGACACTAACTCAAAGCCCAGCAGGGCAACTAGAAGAATTTAAATTTGTTTAATTAATGGAACTAGAACAGAAAGCTAGTCTCAGAAATGGTGACCATAAAAATGAATTGTTGCAAAAAAAAAAGCGGTTAGCACTGCCGCCTCACAGCACCGGGGAACTGTTTTGATTCCACCTTCGGGTGACTGTCTGTGTGGGTA